TTGGGCTACTCAATGATTCATGTGTGTGATTTAACGCCCTTCATGATCATACTGAAGTTCCTCTTTTGGCATTTTCTTTATCAGAGTACAACACTTCCATCTTTATAGCCTCATTCCAAATTATATAAAATACATACATTGGAGTAGACTCTCTGAATTCCATTCTCCAGATGTCACCTAATCTCGCCATCTAGTTTTATTATTAATATCTCTAAATAATCATTTTTGCTGTTAATTGGTCAATATGAAATGGATCTACAGACTTCCTTGGAAAATGCAGAATTTCACATATAGAACAACTTCTATCTATAAGTGCTTGCCCATAGAATTGTGTGGTATACCTGTAATATGCTTTACCTTGTAATGTGTGAAGAGCTGTTTCATTTTACTAGAGATATATGCTAGGGCATTGTCAGATTTAATTCATACAGGTATCCCATAATGGCCATAACTTCTAATAAATGTGTGATTATAGAATCAGCCTTTAGGAACACAAAGCAGTAGGCCATTGAAATCCTCAATAAGTATCCATGGTATGTTGTATATATTTTAATTTTCCAAACTTTGCAAAATAGAACACAGCCATTTGACAGATTGTATTTCCTTTAGTAACCATTTGATTACTTTCTGCAGGTGGTGGCGTTTAGTTATACAAAGAATAAGTAGGACATTTTATTATAATTTCTTTGGCTTGTTGCTAAGTGATAGGAAAATATATTTTCAAACCATTGCTAGTAGCCTGGCATTTCTTATGAGATTTTGAGGCATCTATCACATTTCCTACTGATAGTTGATTAATTTCATAATTACCTTGTGCTAGAGACCCTGGAAGACCCATATTAGACCCATATTAGATCTGGTATGTATTATATATAAGGGATGAATTCCAGTTTTAATTATTTCTTATAATTGGATAAATAACAATTCTGAATCATCTAGAATAATTTCAGTAGTTTTGATATGTAAAACAATTCTGTCTGCGTATTGACAGTATGCTATATAAGACTATATAAGACATTCCTGAAAATCTAATAATACATGAGAATGGCATGTAATTCTGACTTTTGAATGGAATAATGAGGTCTTTGAGCCACTTTGTTTAAATCTCCTGGCTCACAACCTACCTTTCTTTATTTATTTGCATCAGGATAGCATATAGGTACTCCCAAATTTGATGCTCCCCATACAATGTGAGAAATGATCCAGTTAGCTCTCTTTATAAACTGAATTATCTTGGGGATATTATCTTTGGGGATATTTTGTAAATCTCTCACCCAGAATTACTGTAACCTCTTTCCAATGTCTGTTTTCTCTCCATAATGAGGAAATTTCAGCATTTGTAAAAATGGATCACAATTTCTGTTGGATCTATTCCTGTTCATTGGCAAAGTCTTAATTTGTTTTCAGAATTAACTCAGACAACTTTTTACATAGATCTTTAATTTTTCACTATGTTTTTGTGGAAAATATCCATTCTAAGATATTATCCTCTCTTTGCATTAGAATTTCTGTAGGGGAATTCATAGAAGGTAGAATAACTGGAATACCAGAACCAAATAATCCATATGTGCATTGTGTAATTTATTTTCTGCCAAATCCAATTCTCTCTCAACATCAGCTAATAATTTGCTTGGACTATTCAAGTCCTTATCACCTTGGAGGGTTTGGAATAAATTACTCAGTTCTTGAGTTGTCAATTCAATTGTTGGGTGTAGCCAGTTAATAGCTCCAAGCAATTTTGAAATTCATTAAGAGTTTGTAATTGATCTCTTCTGATTTGTATATTTTGTGATTAAATTTTTTGTAAACTAATCTTGTATCCTAGGTAATTAATAGAATTTTTTCAAAAGCAACTTACAATACTCAACAAGGCAAAGTTTTCTTCTTCAAACATTTTCTGTATGTTATTTACATTTGAAACAGCTAGTAAGATATCATACATATGATGGTAAATTGTAGATTGAAGAAAACTGTTTATGAATTATTTCCAATGGCTGTTGTACAAAATATTGGCACAGGGTGGGTCTATTTAACATTCCTTTTGTAAGAATCTTCCACTGATATCTTTTAAACAGGCTGGGAATTATAAGTAGACACTGTGAAGGCAAATTTTCCTCTATCCTGTTCTTGCAAAGGTATATAAAAAATTTTAAATCAATCACTAAAATATACCATCTTTTAGGTAGTAAAGAAGGTAAGGGAATCCAAGGCTGTGAAGAGCTCATTGGTTGAGTCATCTTACCAATAGCTTTTAGATCTGATACCATAAGAGCTCATTGGTTGAATCATCTTACTAATAGCTTTTAGATCTGATACCATGCTCCATATTCCATATTTCTTTTCAATGACAAGTATAGAAGAATTCCAAGAAGTATTAAGTTCTTTAATATGTTAGCATTTACCTGTTCCTGTACCACCTGTTCCAAGACCTGTAATTTTCTGATGTCAAAGGTCATTGTTCCACCTGTACAGGCTTGTCAGATAACCACTTTAAAGATAGGGCTGTTGGTACATTGGAAATATCAGCAGATGCTGTGCCCTGTTTGTGTACAATCTGAATGGTCAATGACTACTCTTTTGTACTATCTTTTAATATTTTTTCACAGAAACAAATGCTAGGTTATGATGTGTTTCTGAGATTGGATGAATGTTTAACCTAGGTATTCAATTGCTGCAACAAATCACACCACCCAAAATTTATTGCTATGTTAGCCACATATGGCCTTAATTCTCCCTTCTGTCCTTCTGGGCCTATACAGTCAACCGATCTTGCACTTTGTTTTACTTGAGATAAATTCCAATCCCTAAAATCTGAGCATTTACCTCTAGAATAGGCCATTTTGGAAGCCTAGATTCTAGTGAAATTATTCTTACACCTGCCCCTGTACTTACCAAACCCTTAATTACAATGTCATTTATTCATATTTTAATATTGGCCTTTGATTGTCTATAGAAGCTTGCCAAAATATTTCCTTTGTGGTTTCTCCTGAAATTTTTGCATTATCTTCTAAAGTTGTTCTATCCTCTGTAGCAGTATTTTTTTTAAGAATAGGCATTAGGTCCTTTAATTATTATGTGGAGGAGTTCTCCCATGGTGACAGATAATGACTGAACAAAAATTGGCATAGGGAGCACCTCCCAATGTGATCCCAATGGCAAAGTGCTACCCTGTCTGTCCCTTGTTGATTTGCATTTATTTGCTATGCCTTCTGCATACTGTAGAAGGCAGGGCCCTTTCATTTGGATTATTCCTAGAAAAAAAAAAACATTGTTTCTGGGAAAATTCTGTGTAAATCCCTTTTTAGGTGACCTCATTTACCACAATTAAAACATCTGACATCTTGATTTTTCTTCAAGTCTTTGGAAGTCACCTCTCCTATCCAAGTATCACCATGGTTATGAGAGTCAATATTAACTGTTTCAGATCCATTCTTCCATGGGTGCTGATCTTGCCTTTAAAGCCAAATTACCTTTTGCATTATGATTTAGCATTTTCGAAAGCCAAAGATTCAATTATTATTTGTTTAGCCTCTGGTTTAGGTATCGTTCTATTTATAGCTGAAGTTGAAGTTTGTAAAAAATCAGTGACGTTTTATTTTGGGTTCTGTATAACTTTCATAAATGACTTAGTTCTTTTTTCCAACTTCTTCAACTTCGGAACAAGTATTCAAAGATGCTGTAGGGCATAGAGCCAAGATGTGTTCATCACGTACAGACTGTCTTCATACATCAGCATTATTGAGTTCTCCCAGAAGCTGGTCTTGAGAAATTTCAATACCTCTAGCCTTACTGTATTATTCAATGGTCCCAAACTCATCTCTCTTCCAGATCTTCCACTGTAAATGTAGGATAATTCTGTTACTAGTTGTCCATGAATTTAACATCTGCCTCAAAAAAAGTTGAATGCGTACCTTAAGAGACTATCACTTCCTTAAATCTCCTCAAATCTACCATTTCCACAGGAATCCAGTGATCTCTACCATACCCTTGTGGGTATTTGTTATTTGACAGTTTTCCCTGTATAATGACTAGATAAATTAAGGTTGGGGCTTTGTTTTGTTTTGTTTTCTTGGTGATCTTGAGCTGTTCTTCTCTAATTTCATAATATAATAGTGGGGATAGTTCTCCTTTAACTTCCTCTCTCTCTCTCTCTCTCTCTCTCTCTCTCTCTCTCTCTCTCTGTGTGTGTGTGTGTGTATGTATGTGTGAATATCTCTATTACCTGTTTTAATAAGTTTTTCTAAGACTTGTAACTTATTAGTCAGAATTGCATTGTTTTCTTTAGTAAGCTTTTGTAAGGACTGTATCTTATCAATTTCTCACATTTGCCACTGCTGTCAACCAACTATTTTAGCGATAAATCAAGAATTAAAAACTGATAATGATTGTAATTGACATTCTGTAAATCCCAAGTAAGTTAATTATCCCCTCATTTAATTGTTCCATCTTCAAACCATCCACCATGGAATCATATAGAGACCAACTCCCTCCATCATAAATTTACTTCCCTTTATAACATGAGAAAAAACCCTCTCTTTCCTTTTTTTTTTTTAAACTAAGTTCCCCCTTCAGGAATTCCAACTTGTCTAACCAAAGTTGCTGATGATGACAATGAAGCATAAGGCTTTATTTGTCAGAACACAATCAAACTATCACAATTTCTCTTAAGAATATAATTTGTTTAGTTAGGAATTTATGTAAGAAAGACAATCTTTCATATTTTCTCAAAAACTTACAGATTTTAATAAGGGCTTAGATTATAAGATGTATTTATTTAACACTTAAATCATGAAGAAAAATGTTGTTTTTAAAAAGAAAACATTTTCAAAATATAACATGGTTTTAACCACTATTATGTTCAGTGACCAAAGAGATGTAGCTCTTTACTGCATCTTCTGCTGAAGGATGGATTTGTCAATAGTGATCAGCAGCTCCCTTGAACACCAGAAGTCCAACAAGTTACACCAAAAGGAGATGATGAAGCTCTGAGTAAGACAGTCAGTATTTGTATAACAAGTTCAGTATTGATCAGCTTTTACTAAGCAAGGTTATGAAAAAATGCCACAAACTAAGAAGAACAAAGTTATTTCTTAAAGCTACTTCTGCCTAATCAAAGCAGCTCTGAGTCGCTGTCCAACTGTTTTCCTTTCTCTAGCTCTTCCTGAAGAAGCATCCTCTCCACATCCTTCTTTTTCAGGAGTGTCCTGCATGGCTCTCTGCAGAAGCAGCTTGAGACTGTTCCTCTGGAATCTACGATGCCTAATACAACCCACAATGAAATAAACGATAGGATTGGCACAACTGTTGAAACAGGACAGAAATATTGTCCCTGGATAAAAATAACAAGGCGCAAGATATTTAAAATTCTCAATCCATGATAAGAGGAACCAGTAGATGCCATAAGGCAGACCAAAGAGCAGGAAAACCAGCACTGTGCACACAATGGTCACATATAGCTTGGTCACAGGAATCCTGTGTGAGCCACAGAAGATAGTAAACACTAACGCCAGACTGGATCCCAAGAGGACTACAAACAAAACAATTAACCATGCTGCAGTGATGAAATCAAATGACTGACACCAACCAGGGCCAAGACTATCAAATATGAGACCACATTCCTTCCCTTCCAGGATGCTCAGCAGCAGTGACAAGACCCAAAGCAGAGTACACATGACAGCTGACATGTGCCTTGGGCGTTGGCAGCGATACCAGATGGGCCACATGACAGACAGGCAGCGTTCAAAGCTAATGACACTGAGCATGCTCAGGCCACAAAGATAAGTAAAGTTTAACAGAACAAAATAAAACAGAGGAGTGGTAATGATATTGGGGTAGAAGGTGTCCAAGATAATATGAATACAATGTACAATTTGAAAACACGTGCAGAGAAAGTCAGCACCAGCCAGGTTGAGGATGTAGACAGAGAAGACGTTCCTCTGTACATGGAAGCCCAGAAGCCACAGCACTATGGCGTTTCCAACGAGTCCAATGAGTCCAATGATGAGGGAAAGCCAAATCATAGTATAGGACATGATGTGACAAAATGAAAATTCAGTGTTGTTTCTTCCATTCACTACTATGATGTCAATCTCCCAGTCTGGGGTATTTGGGTTCACTCTTATATCTCTAACAACAAAAGTGTGGCTGTAAAAAAAAGAAGATAATGAGCACATACCGTAATAAAAAATCTTTTATTCTTAGCAAATTTTGCCGTGTGATTGACCTTGTTCATAAAGAGAAGAAATGCAGTTGTAGAGTCTGAGTAATTTATCAAGACAAATATATATGGAGCTTTAACTAAATCTAGTTAGTATTTCTTTCAGCTGTCTAAGAAATCATACTTTACTGACATGAAGGTAGTTGGTGGCCCTAATATAGACACTCTGTCTTTGGCTGTGTCAGAAGGAAATAGAACCTTGAACCCAACTATTATTTTCTGTCATTAGACTGGTTCTTCTCTGGTTCAGGAACTTGCAAGCCAGGAGCATGACTAACAGCTGCTCTCAATCCTGTCAAGGGGAAAGCTGGCAACTGGGGAAATAGGAAAATCATGAATGAGAGTAATGAAGGAAAAGGCAAGTCATGCGTAGACTAGTATGAACAGGTCTGGACCTACATGCTAATGTGATCCAGTCTCTGTTTCAGATTTGAAACTAGAAAATAGGAAAAGGCTTTGAGGACATTAAGCACATTTCTGTTGGCTGTTGCTGCATCACAAGTGTCCCTCTTTCTATAGAAGCACAGTGAGTAGGTGGGAATTTTTTATTACAAAAATGAATAAATGAACCATAAACCCAACCACAGATGCAAATTTGGAACAAATGGTTTTTGCAAATATTTTAGAGTGATTTTTATTCCATAAAATGTATGGAAAATGAAGAAAATATCATTACTGATGACTCTGTCATTGGGAAATTCTAGTGTGTTTGAAAGAGTGGCAAATGGTGAAGATATGGCTAAGAATGGCCTTTATCATTTTCCAATCTGGCAATGTCCAATTATTGGCTGCAACAAGAACTTAAAACAGTGGCTCTCAACATATATGTTGTGACTCTTTTGGGTAAATTTGTAACAATGAAAATATATCCTGCTTATCAGATATTTGCATTCCATTTCATAACAGCAGCAAACTTATAAAATAGCAATTAAAATAATTTTATGATTGTGGGGTCACTACAAAATGAAGAACTGTACTAAAGAGTCACAGCATTAGGACTGTTGGAAAATGCTGGCTTTGAAGAATTAGCCATAGGATTCTGAAATGAATTGAAATTCTAACATTCTTGAAGAGTTGGAAATTTATTATGGGGAAATAGATAAGAGAAGTGGAAACTGTTCTAAATAAAGGACATTATGACATATAAACATCTACAGAGATTAAAGACAGATGATGGTCGATAGAAGGGTAATAAGAACTGTTCTACCACCCACATTAGCTTACTTGTGGAATACCAGCACTCTAAAGGCTAGGGCAGGAAACCCTCCATAAGTTCAAGGAAGTCTGAGATACATAGTGAGTCCATAAAAGTCTGTACTGTAGGAGAAAGCAAGAAAGCATAAAAAAAGATCTGAGACTCAATATAAAGACCCAACACTATAAATACTGGAATGAGATACAGACTAAAGCATAGAAGAGTAATTTCATGAACTAGATCATGGGTTTTTCCTGATCTACAGGAGAATATGGATTTCGAAACAGTGGAGGTATTCCAAATGGACATGACAAGAAATGAACCCATATACAGCAAACTGTATTGAGAAATATCAAGGATAGGTGACACAAAAAGAATGCTCACATTAAGAGATGAAGGAACAGATGCCATGCTATTTGCAAAATAAAACTTGTCAAAAAAAATGTTAGATTTCTAAAACTGGGAGACCATGGAAAGATGTGTTCCACATCCTGAGAGCAATCAACTGCCAATCAGGCTGCATTCTCTTCCTGGTATGAAGCCTTAAACACTTCTCTCTTGTCTGTTGTTATGTTACAAACAAAACAAGTGATGCATCTGGGAAACAGTCAAGTAGGGAAGGAGGAGGGAGTTGAAAGAGATGAGATGGAGGTAAGAGAGGAGAAGGTAATTGGAGTCCATTGCATATAGAAATCAAATGATCAAATAACAAAATTAATCAAGGAATGAAGTTAGTTGTATTCCTAGGGCAGCACAACTGTACCTACATCCACAGTAACACCTAGCTCTTGGTTCAGATGATTATCACTGTTGATACTTCTCTTCACTCCATGTGCTACTCTTGGGTTTGAGTTGGGCTTAACACCTTGGGCAATATATATATATATATATATATATATATATATATATATATATATATGAGAAATTATACTTACCTCTGTTCTTCTCAGTCACTCATTTTTAGACCTCCTTTTTCCAAACTGATGCACAAATACAAAGGAATAAAAAATGCATTGTAGGAAACACAGGTGACTGAGTACTGACAGAACTGTGCTTTTAGAAAGTTTGCCTATACCCATGTGCTTGCTAAGTCAAAGAGTGTGGAAGACTTCTCACAATAACACAACATTTGAATAGTTGAGCTGACAGCAGAATGAGGAGAAATTACAAGAAGTGGGCACTGCTTAGACACATAGGATTCCAATCTCCCAAAATCAAGTCTGCCAGTCCACACTACTAAAGAATGACTTTGTACCTCCTGTGTCTTCAGGAAAACCTGAGACTCTTTGGATTCTCCAGCTCAAGGTGTAGTTATATTGTTACAGACTAAGAATAGTAGGTAACAACTTTGGGGAAAGGGTCTCAAAAGCCTCTTACCTTTCCTCCATTTTTTATGGGAGATGGTAAGCTGGTCTTGGCAAAGTGAAGGGTTCCCTGAGTCAGCCGTCAACATGGAACACTTCTGTAGTCTGGAGAATGATATAAGACCAGTGCTTGAGGAAGGCTAATCATGATGGCAGAAAGAACTGTGGTTTTCTATACTTGCATCTGCTGGCATATCAGCATCACCCCTTTGAGTCATGCTCTTCACGAGACTGTTCTTGAAAGTTGGCCTGGCTCCTATCTCTCATCTTCTAGTCATGCCAACCACTGTGACACCTCTATCCTGCTAGTTTCAGTTAAAAGAACCAACCTATTAAGTTAGTCTAGTTATCCATCTTTCCCCCAAGGACTACCAAGTTCTGGAATTGTAGGCAGGTTTCTAGACAGCATCAATGTGGGTAGTAGGGATTTGAATGTAGGTCATCACAATGCAGGCCAATCACTTTACCCACTGAGCCATCTCCCAGGGCTATCTAACAATATTTTTATAAAGGAGGAAATCCACTTCACCCAAATATTTAATGCTAATTATTTGATTTTTTTTTAAAGCAAAAGGATTATTCACTTGGTTTGCATGCTTGTGTGTTAGGATTATTGGTTGGCTGGTTGCCTTCATAACAAGGAAGCAGTAGAATATGAATTACAGGAGGATTTTTATTATCTCCAGCTTCAGCTTTTACATTCCATATGGTAAAGAAGTTAAATTCTCATTTGACAATTCAATGCATATTAAGCGTCAACTTAAATTCATGTACTGCATTTACTATAACAATGTAAATTATTTCTATCCCCATGTGATGTTTTAGTAGATTTTTCCCCCTAAGTATAGCCATGACAGAACTATGCGAACTTTATAATGTCTTTGGTTGTGGTATCACTTCTTCCTGATTTTTGTTAAAGGGATATGAAATAAAATGTGAGAATATGATACATGTGATGTAAAACTGTGAACTGGTGGCATATATGTAAAATCTTATAAGTACTTGAAAGAAATGACACTTAAGGATAACCTGCCCCTAAATGGGAAGGTGAAAATTTCTTGGAGTAACTTGACATGAATCGTAGTCTATGACCTTTTAGAATTTTTTGATGCTAAACGAATTGACATCTCTAAGCACATATCAATCAAATTTTAGTTATGAAAAGTGCATCAGTGCTTTTTAAATCACCAAGTTCACTTATTCATCCAATATTTATTATCTGGAGGTGTAGTGCAAGGCCTGCCAACAGTCAAGGAGATTATGCTTTGTGGAGACAGATAGAAATGAAATCTATAATTTTAATGGAAGAGAGAACGGAATACATGAAAAGAAATGCATTAGAAAGGGATGGTCACTCTGTGTGTATTAAGTCCTTTGGGCTAAGGAAACTGGAAGCTTATGTATTGCTTTCAGCATTTTGTAGCACAGGAGAAGGGAGACCAACAATGGGGACAATTCAAGATCCACGAGTTTTTGATACTCGTACAGGGATGAGGCAATTCTAGGAACATTGAAACCACATTTGATTAATAGAACCTGTCATGTTTAATTCTCAAGAGGATGCTTGTTAACTCAACTATTATGAGATCAAGGACCCAGGAGGAGAAAAGTTAAGGAAACTCTCCAAATTGATAAGGGCAACGTCTCTCAAAGCATATGTTCACCCAAAGCAGAGCGTTTATCACTGCTCCACTGCTTTCCTATCTCCCCCGGGTTCCTTAAGAAGACCAGCTCCATAGTAACTCTCCAGAACAGTGTCCTACAAGGGCCTCTAGAGAATCAACTAGAAATTCTATCACAGATGAGGTGATGACATAGAGTTAGGAGTCAATGCAGAAATAGCTGACACTGTTGTTCCATCTGCTGAGAGAAAAGAATAGAATCATTGGGCATGAAGAACAGCCAAAGAATGTGTTGTTATCAGTCTACACCTAGAAGAGTAGGGAACAACAGACACATGAAAGCAGTTTACAGATGAGGAAGAGCAGCACCATGAGCATGAGGGTCACATAAAGCCTTGTCAAGCATATCTTTCTGGTACCTCAAAGGTCCTGAGGAGTAAAGACAGGCAAATCCCAGAGGATTAACAATAAAATAATCATCCAAAGGCCTGTGGTGAAATAAAATTTGATAGATGCAATTCATGACCAACTATTTTAAGTATCTAGCTAGCTATATCAGTCTCTTACAGGATGCTAAACAGTAGAGATATAATCCTGAGCAGGGTAAAAGCTACCTGACTAATGTTTTACATAGAATTAGTGATCCCAGATTGGAGAAAGACAAACAGGCAAGTCTCAGAAGCAATGACACTGAGCATG